TCTTCAACCAAATTTAGCTTTTGAAATTTCACCAGTTCACTGTGACATTGTAGCCTCATACATCCAGGCATGTATAGATTCTACTAGCAAACCCGGCAGTCAAATTCTTTCTAACAGACAGTAAACAAATCCATGTTTAACCCTCCTCTTGAGGGTCAAAAGGTTATCCGACACTTACTCTTCGCATGTCAGCAGAAGGTACATTTCATCAGGAGTAGATAATAGGGTTATCTACTATCTACTACCTATTATCTACTCCTGATTTCATGGTCCTTTCAATAAAGCCATAAAAATGCTAGGTCACCGCTGAAACAAAAAAGTTTTTCAATCTCTCCGTCAGACCATGTCCTCAGAAAATGTCTAAAATCTGCCCTGTGCCCATTGACCTTTGAGCGGTGACCTCCAATTTCGGCACAGTGATGGCTTTTCCTACCATGATGCTATACACCGACTATCACGAGCCTAGGTCGAGCCGTTTAGATTTGTGCCGCAATTCTGCATTTCCACCCTATACCTTAAGTTAAGGAGTGACTGTTCCCCCTTCTTTTACACCTCTTGACCTTTGACCTTTGACCCCCAGCTTCGACATCCCAACTCGTTTTAACACCCCCCCCTCCCGATGTGCCGAATATCGTGACCGTACTTCGAGCGGTTAAGATTTGTGCTTAACTGTTGACGGACGGACGGACGGACGATCATGCGATTCTACAAGCTGCATCTGACTATGTCAGATGAGCTAATAAATCAGAAACGCAGCAGACCAGCAAGGCTATGGTAGAGGAGCGCTGATTGGGCGAAGTTGAAGTATGTATTGCGGTCAGGGAGAGCGAATCTCCCCTCGAAGAAGAAATACGACTACGCAGGTGATACATCTCGTACTATAATATATATATATATATAGTATAATAAACCTATCTACATTGTACGTGACGCTTTCGTTCATCACTACCAGTGTCGACAATTTTGCAATCCTACAGTAAGGTTGTATGTCAAGGTAAGAGTGTAATTCAAGGTAGGCCTGGACTTCAATCTAATGATTGAGTGTAAGAATAGGCTGGATTTAAACGTAAGCCTTGCGCTAAAAGCAAGGATGTAGTTGAGGAAAATAATTAATTTACATGAAATGCTAGAGTTAATTGAAAAGATGGAGTTAACGGCAAGGATGGCGTTAAAGGTCCAATTCTTGCGCGTTGGCGCAGCAGCAGCAGCAGTATAGCCACCGCCACCGCCACAAGTAGCAGCAGTGCTGTAAATGCTAGCAGCATCTTGCCAACATACAAACAGGAGTGAATAATAATAGATCTAATAATCTAATAATCTATTATTATTCACTCGCGATACAAACATATAACGCACCTCTGTAGGATCCAAATGTCGCGGCTGCAGCTCATAGCACTGAGCAGTTTTAGCTTCTCCGAGGCGACGTTGGAGCGAATGTACTGATCCCACGCGAAGTCCCACTCCCTGATGCCGCCGTTCCTCACCGCCGTGCAATACACGCTCGTCTTCAAGTTGACAGATATACTGAAGAGACACCGTCTCATCAGGAGTAGATAATAGGGAAACTATTCCCTATTCCCTATTATCTACTCCTGGTCTCATGCACAGAAATGTACACATAGACTACCTCGTATTTATTCAGTCTGTATTCTCACAGTTATATTCTGCAGTCCCATGGGCTGCGCAGGAGAACGGGGAATTAATATCATAGAGATCCCTGAATAACTTACTCCCGTAACAGTCGTAGATATAAAATTGGAGAGATGACCCCAAAAACTCCCGCTATTGCGTAATAATATGGTAGGAGAGCTCGTTTATGGAAGAAAGGCTGATTACTATAGGTAGGAGTTAAGTAATGAGGGAATCTCGTAGTATCCTTTCCCGATGTGGTGAAGATGCAAGAGGTTACATGCACCCACGTACACATGTAATTATGACATTTATCATCGCGACTCAAGCATGTATCTGTGGGTGAGCTCACAACTAAGCGATTATAAACATAGTCATTCTAGCGTGTGGCAAGTTATCTTGTCTATATCGCAACCGCTGCCCTATTATCGTTATATCTCAGCGCATGACTTGTTATGTTTATAAATTGGTATGGTAATGGTTGATATGGTAAAGGGACATTGAACCTCAGTCATCGTATTTCCTGGCCCTCGTCTCATATAATCACTCTCTGATATCCACCTTTGCAGTACCTACGATGCACACATCTACATTGGAGCTAACAACGTATTTGCTCTACCACTATAGTTTCCATTGCTATAGGAGTCCAAAGGAGGATAGCTATAGTGAGATATATATATAATATATATAACAACGTGCTTCCATTGCTATAGCAATAGATCTAACAACGCACATGCTCTGGCCCTATAGCTTCGATTGCTATAACAATAGATCTAAGAACGCAATGCTCTAGTACTATAGCTTCCATTGCTATACGAGGCTAATGGTATCAAGAGCGGTATAGCAGAGGCGGGCTACAACGGGTTGCAAATTGTGAACCAGTTTGCGGAGTCGTGATTAACGACGAGATGTTTAAGACTTCTTGCCCGTTTTTGAAGATGCTTTTTCTGCTCTCGTCATTCGTATAGCGATTCGTCCTTTACTCCATTCATCCATGTCGGCTCCTTACGTTATTTCGTGTGTATCTGATCGACGACAAGGTCGGGCATGGGACTGCGCTCAGCCTCCTGTTGGGAGAGAGGGGTGGTGGGCGCGTGGGGTTGTTTAAACTACAGATGGATTACATTTCAAGAGCGTATAAAGGAAGCGAGAGCGTTACAACGGTGAAATGCTGAACCATGTTGCAGCAAGGAACGAATCGCATAATGACGAAGAGCAGAAGCTATGTAACCCATCTATAGTAGAGCACCACGTTACGTCTGCTTGCGATTTAAATAGTATTATCAGCTGAAATTCCAGGTACAGTACACTGTTTAACGACTATGTGGCCGTAATATTGTAAACGAATGTTTCGCTGCATTTTACGTTCTATCGACCTACCGTGCTTGCTAAGAAAAAGAAGCCAAAAACAGTAACGACTGAAAACAAAGCCATGGGTTTTTAGTTCTTATCGTCGTTCTCGCCACATGTCTAGCACGTTGCATCTTATTGAGAACAGAGGAATCGAAACGTACGGGTTTCACATTCGGAGCTTGCATCCATTCTTCGTATCGTTTCGTGTACGCCTCAGGCGGTTGATGAAGGTATGACCCGATAACCGCACGCCGTTCTTATAATAGGCTGCGATTGCGCGTTTAAACCTGCGAAGGCTGATTAAATGCTGTTGTGGCGTCGGTGTATGCGTGCGATGCTGTGCGCCGCGCGCCGTGTGCAGTGTGCGCGCCGGTTGTGTGTGTGCGTGATGTGTGTTGTGTGTTGTGCGTGCGTTGCTGTGGCGACGGTGGGGTGTGTATACATATACATCAGGGGTTAATAATTATTAACCCCTGATGTATATGTGTGTGCTTGTGACTGTATCTACGCGAGTGTGTGCGCGTGTGCGTGTGAGTGTTACCGGCGATATAGTGACGTGAAACGCATTAGTACCTATTACTAATTGCTTACAATATGCGCGTGCCGACATTATCTAGTCAGCGCGTAAAAGTTGCGCGCTTCCCTCGAGAGCGAAGTTTTTGTGGAGAATTTCTCTCGCGAGAGAGCGATTAGTAGACGAGCGAAAAAGCTACGCGAACGAGAAAAACACGAACGCCGACTTTTCTAGAAAGCGCCCGCGGTTCAAGCAGAGTTCAGGTTCGAGCGCCCGCGGTTAGATACAAATGTGTGCATGGATGGGTGGATGGGATGGGATGGGATGGCATGGATGCGCCTGGATGCGCGTCGGACTAGCCACTCGCACTCGCATCGCTCATATTATTCGATAGACAGCTGATACGCTCTTGCTCGCTCGCTCTCGCTCGCCATCTCAGATAAACATGGGGGGTGAGGAGCTTATTTCTGGCGTCGGTAGCTGTGACCGCACGTATCGTGTTTAACTGATTGGTCGTGTATAGAATCATTCCAGCCGACCTCCTCGTAGAGCGGCTGAATCTGCAGCTTCATGTACTCCTGAAATACGATACTCTCATATATTAATATTGTACGAAGAGCGATGAAGGGCGTTGTTGTTTATTATTATTAATAATAATATTATTATTTTATTATTTCCAAAGCTGGGATCCGCATTTAGCGGTGCGCTTCTGGGCTTATTATTATATTAATTATTATTATTATCATTATTATTTTATTATTATTATTATTATTATTATCTCCTCTTTATCATTATTATTATATTATTATTATTATTATTATTATTATTATTATTATTATTATTATTATTATCAGCATCATCATCATCGTCATCGTCATTGTCGTTGTCATCATCGCCACCGCGCTCCCTTATCTCCCCGCGCCTTGGTCACCTTGAACAGACCGTAGGCAGATGTGCGTTCGAGCATGTTGTTGACAAAGTCTAGCGCAGTGAGGGCCGATCTCCAGGGCAGGTACTCTCTCTCGTTCGCCAGGTACTCGGTGGCGTTGAGCGCCAGCTCTTCGTTAACGTGTCCGGCTCGCGCGATGTTGAAGATGTCGTCGAGAAGCTGCGCCCGATTCTTCACGGGTATCACCTACATACAGGTAGAGAGAACAGCTGGTTATCCACACATACCTACATACAGGTAGAGAGAACAGCTGGTTATCCACACATACCTACATACAGGTAGAGAG